CAGCCCTTTCAGGCCTGAGTTTCCCCCAAACCATCTCTTCTGCACTATCCAGTCCCTCTTTCTAGACCCTGGCAGGAGTTAACAAAGCTACTAGGGATGTAACAGTGTAGTCAATTAACCGATAAGCAAAGGCTCAGTCCTTGCTTGCACTGTGACTGGGACCTACCCCTGCTGTGGCTCTACATTTAAAGTGTATTAAAAACCAGGTGGGCAGGCAGCCCAGCTCGGTCCTGGCTTGTGCCAGGTCCGAGACCTACCCCCACTGCAGCTCTGCATTTAAAGAGTATTAAGAGCTGGGCGGGCAGGTAGCCCCATATAGGGGCTGCTGCCACCCTGCACTGCTGCCGCTGTATCAGATGCAGCTGTATGGGGCGACAGGCAGCTGGTCTCCAACGGGAGCTGGTTTTTAAACTGGCTCCCCTTGCGGACTAGCTCCCACCTGGCACCCCGCATTGCTGCCTCTGATACAGTGGCATGGAGCTCCTTGGGAGCGGGGCTGGAGCACACTGGCTGCAGGTCCTATCCCCAGGGACTATAGAATAGTCAAGTTACCAATAAAATTTCATGAGGTTAATCGACTATTCAATTAACCAATATTTAACATCCCTAAATGCTACTGCCTCCAAACAAAGACAAAATACACACGAGCCTTTTAGGTAAGCTGAAGGCTTCACACTTTAGATTAATATTCAGCACAGAAGTGGTTTTGTAAATGTGAAACAAGTTTATTAGCAATAGAACCTCGATGTAAGCAAATATGAGTAGGGATAGAAATGGTTACAAACAAAAGTAAACAAACAATTCTAAAACTAAGATTAAGATTAAACTAGAGTCTTTTTTTCAAAATATTTCTCTCACCACAGTTATTCTTGCAGCTTGGCTGGCCTGTCTTTAGCTAGGATCCAACATAGAGCCCAAATCACTTTGTTTATTTATCTCCTTGGGGGAAGGATGACAAAATGCCTTCTTGCCTTCCATTATATCTTCCAAAGTTCATTGACCTGGTTTCAAAAGGTAGGAAGGCTTCCCAAGAGTGCAGTCTCCATCCCTTGTCAAGACTATTAATTGATCATTTGCTTTCCTGAAGGCACTTTTTATCTTGGATGTAAAGATGTTTTTCATTGTCTTAGGTCAAAGGTTGCTTAATTTACATCAGAAACACAGTCAAGTCTGCCAAACAACATTCCTTTATAGGGCAGGCTGTGCTTAGGCACTGTCCACCACACACATTTGAGGAACGTATTTTCAGCAAACATCTAGAATTCTTTTATACATTGCCAAACATACAAACACTAATATAAATGACCAGTATATTACCAGTTTGCATATGATACTTTACGTGACAATTCTGGATACAGATTATGGCAGTGATTTGGGGCAATGAGATAAGAGTTATGAAATTGTGCACTCTCTTTGGTTGGCACTGAGGTGCTCCCTGGGCCAAGGGGCTGATGGAAATCCGGCATCTTAACAGAGTTAAAGTTGTGGAGCATGGCCTGTGACCCTTGATCATTGTAATAATGGTTAAGTGTGCACTTTTCATATTCTTGCTTTTGTGCATTTGTGTCAGTTACATTACATGTATATTTCTGTTAATGTGTTGTGCACAAGTCTGTGCATTTCATAAAGCAATTTTTTGTGTTAATTTCCCAGGATTTAAAAGTGCTTAATGGAGGGGGAGGTAGCAGACTATGGAGTGCAGGGGAGGACCTGTGGCAGGTATAAGTGCAACTGCTAGTCAAAAGTTTATCAGCAGCTGAGTATGAATCCTCATGTGGGAACAACTGCATGCCACCTGCTGAAATCTCATTTGGTGTCTCTCACTTTGATGTTGTTTAATGCAATTATATGTATTTGGAAGAATAACATGGTATTTAGTACTAAATCATACATAAAATGTATTCAGAATGAAGAGTTGGTGTGCCACTATGGGTTATGCAAAATTTGATAGCTTACTGCTTTGGGTTTCAATGCAAAGTACAAAAACAATTAAGAATGCTAGTATGAAAAAAAGATATTCCTAGTTTCGCACTCCTTCCTAAAAACAGAATTAAAAGAGAAATATAAAATTGGTTGAAAAAATAGTCAAATTTAATTCCACCCAATATCTATTGTCATAGCTGCAAATATTACAAACTTCAGATTTTATTGCAAACATGATAATAACCTAATGGATGAGAACACATTCCAGAAGAAGACCAAGTGCTTTAGAATAAAACTGTTCACAAAATGAACTGCTCCAGTTTTCACTGAAGTCACTATGATTTTTGTAACAAAATATTAATGGAAGCACATTTAAGACAGTAATAATGAACTAAACAATTTCAAAAGGTTTATTTGGAAAGAGACAACAGAGAAAAGCAACTACAACCATTCTACCCCTTCTGGGTCTTCCTAAAGGAGGAATAGCTTTATATAAAAGTCTGAAACACTAAGTCAACCTCCTTTTTATCTGATTAACTCATTATTATTTGTAATTATAGTATTAATCAATGAAACAGTACAACAGTACATACAAAATTTATAGCTTGACATATATATATACACATACACATACACACACCTTAGAAATGTTACATAAATAATTTTATATTAAATTTAGAACAATGTATCCACCCACAATTATCAACCTGTAATTATATAGAAGAGAAATACTGTATTACAATTGATTCTCTCCCTTCCTGTGTCATTTTTAGGGATGTATGTGAGTAGTTACATGATACAGAGGCAGCAAGGGGAGGGGAAGTAGAAGCTGGTGCTTGGGGAACCGGCTTAAAAGCCAGTTCCCCCCAGCGCCATCTCCTTGGTGCTGCCTGGCTCCCTCAGCGCTGCTTCCTCTATCAGAGGCAGCAGCATGGGGGTGGGGGGAAAGGGGAGGACAGAGAAGGCTGCTGCAAAGCAGACTCTGCTTGCGGTGGTTGGAACTGGCTGTGAAGAGGGGCTGCTGCTGGAGTGGCCCTTGTCTGCTGAGGGTCCTAGCTTACTGCTGGAACCCCCACAGACAGTTGCTACTAGACCCAGCATGAGCCGGGACTGAGCAAGCTTGGCTCAGTCCCAGCTCAGACTGGGGTCCAGGAACTACCAGCACTAAGGCTCTACAGTTTAAATGTAGTAAGAGCTAGGTGGGCAGGTAGTCCTACTCCTACTACATTTAAAGTGCAGAGACATAGCAGGGGGTAACTTCTGGAGGGTATGTCTACACTAGCCCCCCTAGTTTGAACTAGGGTGGCTAATGTAGGCATTCGAACTTGCAAATGAAGCCCGGGATTTAAATATCCCGAGCTTCATTTGCATGTTCCCGGGCAGGCGCCATTTTTAAATCCCCTTAGTTCAAACTGACTGCCCACGGCTACACGCGGCAGTCACCTGCAATGAGGTGTAACAGTTAATCCGAACTAAGGACTTAGTTCGGATTAACTTCTGACTGCCGCGTGTAGCCGTGGGCAGTCAGTTTGAACTAAGGGGATTTAAAAATGGCGCCTGCCCGGGAACATGCAAATGAAGCTCGGGATATTTAAATCCCGGGCTTCATTTGCAAGTTCGAATGCCTACATTAGCCACCCTAGTTCAAACTAGGGGGGCTAGTGTAGACATACCCTTATTGACTAATTGTGTAGTCGACAGAAATTCTATCAACTATGATTAGCTATTTACTCACTTCCTAGCATCCCCAGTTATTTTTCAGAATAAATCCATGATAAAATGGTACCAGAATTTTTTAATGTAAGTTTACTTTCATTTGATTGGTGTAAATAGAGGCTTTATGTATAACTAGATTTTGAAATATTAGCTAATGGATATGATCATCTGAGAAGCACCCTAGTTAAATTCTTAAATCTGATTCAATATTTATTTAAAAAAATTTGTTTCATGTTTCAAACTAACAAGTTGGTTATCTAAAGCAATATTTCATGATACATCCTTTTAGTCTAACACGTTTTGACCTCAGTAAGTGCAAGTACATGTTGGTGGAAAAGGTGCTTCACATTCCTTCTCTTCGCTGAGCCAGGAACAGTTGATTTACAAGTTTGAAAAAACTCAAAGTTGTAACTTTAGTTCTGGCATAGCTGAGAAACATGTTTGAAGTTTGCTGAGAGTTTTAGTGTACCATGAGTTTTATTAAAAGTCTCTGAAGTTTTAATGAGATAGATGATCAGTAGGAATAATATTTCCCTATCATTAGTACAAGACAACCTACTGTAATTAGAGGTAATACACTAATTTTTCTCATGCCCACAACTGTAATGATGGCGAATTTTAATTATTATATTTCCCATGACCCATTAGAGCAATATTAAAAGAAAGTGACCAAATCCCTTCAGTCAACAGAGTTGTAACTGTACTAGTATTTTCACTCTGTAAAAAAAATCCTCCTAGGGTTGCCTAATCTTACAGAAGTTATTTTATGCATCTTGAGAAAAACTAAATGCTGGGAGCCAAAGTGCTGCTGGAAGTGTCATCTTTCAAATGAGACAAGTCTGAGGCCTTGCTCATTTCTTGTCTTGAGTCAGCAAAGTGCTTAAGCACTTGCTTAACTTTAAGTTCCTGAGCATAATTATCACATTATGGTCACTCAGTTGAACCTCATCTTTTAGCAATCTGATAGAATAGTGCCATATATTGAATAAGCAGTGGCTCCTGAGGTTTCCAATACAAATACTGAAGTTAATGGGACAGCTCACACGTAAGTGCTAGAAATTAAAAGATCCCTTGTACTTCTCAAAGTAGAAGTTTTAGCCACTCTGTCTTATCTTTGTGTGTTTCCATTTTACTATAGTATCAGACAAGGGGGGTGGGGGCTGGGGGTTATCATGGGCAGGGAAGGAAGGCATTGCCTTCCCAAACAGCCAGGCATGGTCCCACTCACACTCTGCCCCCAGAACACCTAATGTAGGAGTACTGGGGGTGGAGTGTTGCTGCCCCCAGTGCCTGCTCTCTCTCTAGGGTTGCCAGATGGTTGAACCAAAAATACTGAATCCCTCCCACCCCCCACCCTCAAAAAACCCACCGGGGAAAAATTCTGTTGAAGAAAAAAAGGGGGGGAAGACCAAAGTTGCTGAGCAAAAAAAAGGACTCCAAGACTTATTAAGCAAAAACAAAACAACAACAACAACAAAACAACAACAGCATGGCCCCTTTCACAGTGAGTGCAGTCAGAATAGGAATAGGAACAGGGGGGTTGAGCACTAAGACCCATGGGGGGTGATTTCCCTTGGTCTTTTTGCCAGCAACCATTTTGTATTCTTAGAATTTAGCTTCCCTGCGGAACCAAGTAACCATGGGGGCTGGGAGCAGGGAGTGTTAGGGGCCGGAGGGGGATGCTGGGCGCTGAGTGTTTGTACGGTTGCCAGGTGTCTGGTATTTTTGCCTCCTGGCCGGGGAAAAAAATCAGAAAATACCGGACATTTTAGGTGTCCGGTATTTTCTGAATTTTTTTTTTACCAGACAGGAGGCAAAAATATTGGACTGTCAGAGTCAATACCGGACACCTGGCAACCCTAGCTCTCTCTGTACTCTGGGTTGGGAGGCGTAGGGCCGTGCACTGCCCTCCTTCCCCAGTGCTCCGGGCCTGGGGAGGCTGGGGCTTTGCACTCTCCTCCCTTCCCCATGTTCCAGGGCTGCGAGCCTTCCTCCCTCCTGGGGAGGCTGGGATCACACACAATCCTCCCTCCTCATGGTGCTAAGGGAGGGCTGAGGCTGCACACTGCCTCACCTCCCTGTGGTGCTGGGGGAAGGGACCTGGACAGAAGGGGTGGGGTTGGAAGTGAGATTGGGGGAGGGAGCTTGCTTCCCCCAGCCCTAACTTGATCCACCACTCATGGAATCTGAAGTCCCTTCAGTAGCATCAGTGGGAGCTCTGTCATTGCTTTTACTTTAAAAAGTGTTTTGTAGCATGGGTAGCATTAAATGATTGTTGTATTCCACCTCAAAGGTAGGAACATTTCAATACTGAGTGACCAGTCTCTACGTATACACCTTAAAGAGCTATGGGATCCTTACACATGAAAAGTGCTAATCATTAACTTTGAGACTCACACTTTGAGAGGAGGGTTTCCTCTCCATCGCCGCCTTTTAACACATGAGAAAATTGAGGCACTAGTGGATGATGTGACTTGCTTAAGGTTGCACAATATATCAGTATAGAGCCCCAAAACTGAATGCAGGTCTACCAGACCATGCTACAGCCCTCAGAGCAGAAACTCCTCCAAACAAATCTTGATGCTTCATTTCCACATATGGACAATTTTACACATTATGCTGGTCCCACTGAAATCAATGGTAAAACTCCCACTGATTTCAATGTGGCCAGAATTTCACCTTATGTTTTCAGCAAAGCTCAAGTCCTTTGATGCCTATATCCAAAGCATGGTCTTTAGCCCCATGACATGTTTGGTGTAGCCTAATGCAATTCTGAATGATAAGAGCTTCCAACCATAGAAAGAAAAATCTGCATTAATGACTTGAAACCATTTCTATTCACAATCCCTTTGTGTGCACGAGTCTCCAGTTTTATCAAAACAGCGCCGTCCCCTAGAAAGGAAAGAACAAATAACAAAGAAAACAGAAAACAATGAACCCTATTACCCAGTTGACAGAATAAATGTAGATTATCACCATGTCCATGTCAAACCACCATCCACGACTGTCATCCTCAAAATCCATATAATCCATCCTGTGAGCAGCATGTGGGAAGTGCCTTCTTGTTACAGGATCTGTATGCCTTGGGAAACCTGCTGGAGAACAGACTGTGTCACTTCAATCCACTTATTCTTTTAAGAAATATTTTAAGTGAACACAATACTTATGAAAGATTCTGGAATGAGAGCATCAGAAATGGATAGTCTCTATTTCAAGGGCTAATGCAGAATAGAAGCAGCACATCTCATCACCAGAGTACTTTCCTCTTTCATGGAGAGGTCTGCAATGGAACTCAAGGTACAGAAGGCTATGAGTCACCTTTTTACCCATTGTAAAAAAGGGGAATTACACAAAAATGAGGAGGTTAGTTAAACAGAAATTAAAAGGCACAGTGACTAGAGCCAAATCCCTGAAAGCTGCATGGAAACTTTTTAAAGACACCATAATAGAGGCCCAACTTAAATGTATACCCCAAATTAAAAAACATAGCAAGAGACCTAAAAAAGAGTCACCATGGCTTACCCGCCATGTAAAAGAAGCAGAGAGGGACAAAAAGGTATCTTTTAAGAAGTGGAAGTCCAATCTTAGTGAGATAAATAGAAAGGAACATAAACACTGTCAAATCAAGTGTAAAAATGTAATAAGAAAAGCAAAAAAAGATTTTGAGGAACAGCTAGCCAAAAACTCAAAAAGAAATAACAAAATGTTTTTTAAGTACATTAGAAGCAGGAAGCCTGCTAAAAAACCTGTGGGTCCCCTAGATGATCGAGCTATAGAAGGAGCAATCAAGGACGATAAAGCCATTGCAGAGAAACTAAATGATTTCTTTGCTTCAGTCTTCACGGCTGAGGACGTTGGGGAGATTCCTGAATCTGCACCGTCCTTTGTGGGTGATGAATCTGAGGAACTGTCCCGGATTGAAGTGTCATTAGAGGAGGTTTTGGAACAAATAGAAAAACTTAATGTTAACAAATCTCCGGGACCGGATGGCATTCATCCAAGGGTTCTAAAAGAACTTAAATGGGAAATTGCTGAGCTATTATCTGTGGATTTTAACCTATCCTTTAAATCAGCTTCTGTACCTAATGACTGGAAGGTAGCCAACGTGACACCAATATTTAAAAAGGGGCGATCCTGGCAATTACAGACCGGTAAGTCTAACTTCAGTACCGGGCAAATTAGTCGAAACAATAGTAAAGAATAAAATTGTGAAGCATGTAGAAGAACATAATTTGTTGGACAAAAGTCAACATGGTTTCTGTAAAGGGAAATCCTGTCTTACTAATCTATTAGAGTTCTTTGAAGGGGTTAACAAACATGCGGACAAGGGGGATCCAGTAGATATAGTATACTTGGATTTTCAGAAAGCCTTTGACAAGGTCCCTCACCAAAGGCTCTTGTGTAAATTACATGGCCATGGGATAAGAGGGAAGGTCCTTTCTTGGATTGAGAACTGGTTAAAAGACAGGAAACAAAGGGTAGGAATAAATGGTAAATTTTCAGATTGGAGAGGGGTAACTAGTGGTGTACCCCAAGGGTCAGTCCTGGGACCAATCCTTTTCAACTTATTCATAAATGATCTGGAGAAAGGGGTAAGCAGTGAGGTAGTAAAGTTTGCAGATGATACCAAACTGTTTAGGATAGTCAAGACAGAAGCAGACTGTGAGGGACTCCAAGAAGATCTCACCAAACTGAGTGATTGGGCAACAAAATGGCAAATGAAATTTAATGTGGATAAGTGTAAAGTAATGCACATCGGGAAAAATAACCCCAACTATACGTACAGTATGATGGGGGCTAATTTGGCTACGACAAATCAGGAAAGAGATCTTGGAGTTATCGTGGACAGTTCTCTGAAAACTTCCACACAGTGTGCAGTGGTGGTCAAAAAGGCAAATAGGATGCTAGGAATTATTAGGAAAGGGATAGAAAATAAGACCCAGAATATCTTACTGCCCCTGTATAAAACTATGGTACGCCCACATCTTGAATACTGTGTACAGATGTGGTCTCCTCACCTCAAAAAAGATATTTTGGCCTTGGAAAGGGTTCAGAAAAGGGCAACTAAAATGATTAGGGGTTTGGAACGGGTCCCATATGAGGAGAGGTTAAAGCGACTGGGACTTTTCAGTTTAGAAAAGAGGAGACTGAGGGGGGATATGATAGAGGTCTATAAAATCATGAGTGGTGTGGAGAGGGCTGATAAAGAAAAGTTATTTATTAGTTCCCTAAATAGAAGAACTAGAGGACACCAAATGAAGTTAATGGGTAGCAGGTTTAAAACTAATAAAAGAAAGTTCTTCTTCACACAGCGTGTAGTCAACCTGTGGAACTCCTTGCCAGAGGAGGCTGTGAAGGCTAGGACTATAATAGAGTTTAAAGAGAAGCTAGATAATTTCATGGAGGTTAGGTCCATAAAAGGCTATTTACCAGGGGATAAAATGGTGTCCTTGGCCTCTGTTTGTTAGAGGCTGGAGAGGGTGGCAGGAGACAAATCGCTTGATCATTGTCTTCGGTCACTCTCTCTGGGGCACCTGGTGCTGGCCACTGTTGGTAGACAGGATACTGGGCTAGATGGACCTTTGGTCTGACCCAGTATATTCTTATGTTTTTATGTATCTAGTGAGAGGGCATCTTATGGTTACTGAATGTTCCTGATGCTGCCAGCCCTTCAGCTACTAAAGCATTCTCCCTCTGGGCTTATGCCAGCCATGTCTCTGGTTAACAAACAGGTGCATCCCAATCCCTGAATTCCTTTGAATCATTCCCCTGTGATATCCAGCCCCAGGTGTTGGCTACCCACAGTGATTCCAAATCGTCTATCCACAAAGGTGCAGAGTATCTATTTATCTGTTCTCTTAACCCTCTACTCCTGTAATCCACTTCGTCCCTCTGAGCATTTATAATATAACAGAAGATTTTTAAAAAGTAAGAATAAAAATTTAACTATAAGTAGTAGGGAAGGAAGTGGTTACAATACGAAATTAACTATAAAACTTATGTTTAAAGCCTGACTCTAAGCTTATCAACAGTTAGGGTACGTCTAAACTACATGGCTCCGTCGACGGAGCCATGTAGATTTGTTGTTTTGGCAAAGGCAAATGAAGCCGCGATTTAAATGATCGCGGCTTCATTTACATTTACATGGCTGCCGCGCTGAGCCGACAAACAGCTGATCAGCTGT